AAATAGATTCCCTCACCTTCTTAACGAAGGGCCATATACCTAGATTGCCATCAAAGTAGCAATTTCTATTCGCATGATATCTAGGCCTTGCAAGTGCTGCTAAAAACATGACTTTGTCTATTGCTTGTTTATTTTGAACTAACCTCACCGGTTCATCCTCTCCACCATACAAGTAAAACCTCCCTAGCAATTTTAGTGTTGTTGAACCACTTCTCATCTATGTGCACAACGTTGCGCATGTCATCAAAAGTGGGTTGAGTATGTACTGTTTGCATGTCCAGCATGGACACACAAAATTGCAGGCAAAGCTTCTTATTTGCATCTTTGAGAAAAGGCTTCAGTGTGTTTGAGTGACGAAGAAGGATGCCTTCTTTGAAAGCTCTATGCACTGTGGATTTTGGAACATTCAAAGCTGAGGCAAGATCTCTAATAGTTGTCCGCTGGTTCAATGGAATTGTTGCAGCCTGTGACCAATCTCTATCAACCCTTTTCCAGCCACATTTCTTGGACTTTTTTGATGTAATGTCAACTTTGATACCTGCTGCTTGGCATTTCTTCACTTTTGTCCACAAATCCTGGACAACCCTTCTTCTAACATTGAACAAATTTGCAACGATGGTTGTCGCGTTCCTTTCTATTTTGCCATTGATACTTTTTGCAAGTAAAGCTTCATAAATATCTTGTCGCTGTTCATCTGATAAATATTTTCTTCTCCTAATATTTTTCATGTGCATCTTGGTGGTGTGCCATGTCAACGGTTCATAATATGCAAAATTTAAATTAAAACGTGTTGTTTGGATTTATGTCATTTCGTAAAGTATAGTTGCTCTCATAGGAATACCTGTTTCATCGGTTCATACATGTACCTCATCCTGAACGAAGAGAATGTCCACATGGTCAGCATATACATCATTATCCTCATCTGCATGGAGGGATAAAGGTTAGAGATAACGTATATAGAAACATTAAGCATAACTAAATTTGTACTTCCTCCGTTTCATATTATAAGACTTTCTAGCATTGCCCACATTCATATAGATGTTAATGAATTCATTAACATCTATATGAATGTGGGCAATGCTAGAAAGTCTTATAACCTGAAATGGAGGTAGTAGTATAATTAGCAATCCACTTCATAATTAATTTGACTTATGAGCTTTTTTTTTTTGCAGTGTGTTACTCCAACTGTAGTGTTCTGTGCCAAAAAGTCTAGTGAAATTAGTTTTATAATTGACGATATATATATATATATATATATATATATATATATATATATATATATATATATATATATATATATATATATATATATATATATATATATGTAAATTTGCTACTCCTACTTAATGACATTATTGAAGGTATGAGTAGATTAAATGATGGATTTTGAACATCAAGCTAGCAAGGTAACACTTCAATGAAATTTTTAATTTCTAATTTATGGATACATGTATATGTTTCCTACTGTCATATTGAGGGTAATGTGTAGTACAGTAATACACTAATGATGAACAGCTTGAACTTGCTAGTACTAATCGCAATCCTAATATTATTTTTCTTCTGTGTAGGATCAACACACTGACAAATGGGAATCAATCCTGGCCAGATATATTTGCAGCTCGTTTTAAACTCATTGCAGCTCACTTTGAGTTCAGGACAACTCTTGCATTGCAAGTATAGAATAACCATCTATCTTCACATCAGTGCAGTGAGTACATTTCCTTAACCATATTCTATTTTTCTTCCTATGTCATTCATTTGACTGTTTTATGTTGCTATAAACTCCAATAGGGAGTATATAACTTTTGAAATAAGAAGATGACATGCCTGCCATCAAGTTGAGAAGGAAATCGCCTTGATTTTCCTCTTCTTGGACAACATCATCTTGATGCACACAATGGACTTGGTCTTCTTCAATGGCAACAGGTTGGTTGAGGTCAGGAATTTCTTCATCTTCCTCTGTTGGCACTGAAATAGGATGACATGGATTAGTGGGTGTGCTGTAGTAGCAGATGCAATTGTATTGGTGCTAATGTGAATGGGAGCAGGGAGATGAAGAGTAGGTCAAAGTGGCTGAAACTTCACATGTAATGTATGCAAACTGACATACCTGTGTCCATGTTCAGGTCAAAAGGGTAGTGGTCGACCTCCTCCTGGACAGCAACATCTTCTTGACCCACAACAGGGGCTTCTATAACAATATTGTGGAGATTATGGATACCCCATACCCACACGGCATGTATATCTGACTGGGTATTGGGGTACCATATGTAGATGAAATATCTTTAAGGGACTCGAGTTAAATTTCTAACTTGTGTATCAAGGAAATACCCAGGGTCCTAGTCGGCTACGATTGTATTTTATCTTTACTCACCTATTCTGTTAGGAATATGGGATGTATTTTGTAATACGGACTCCTTCCACTATATAAGGAGGGGTCCGGTTGCCTCTTGGGGCATAACTTTTATCCCAGATCATATTATCAATAACACACTCGGCAGATCAATCCCGGACAGAAGTAGGGTATTACTTCTCATCGAGGAGGCCTAAACCTATATAAAATTCATTGTCTTCAAACCCATCCACTTTTCCTTTTTGATAGCCACCCCTTTTTGTATTGCCGAAATCTTGTTTCGACAAATATCTTCTCGTTGCACAGCTCGGAGTTCTATAGCAACATCGTCTTGATGCACAACAGGGACTTCTACATCTCCTACAACTTGTATGGTAAATTCTTGATTGAAGTAAGGAAGTTCATCTTCCTCCACTTCTATTGGAGATGAATTAAGATCGATTGGCATGGATTGGTGGATGTGCATGATGAGATTCAATTGGGTTGCTGGCAATATTGTGAGAATGGGAATAAGAGGCTGGGAGGGAAAGTTTAGAGCAAAGAGGCAAGGGAGTATTTATAACCTTTTGATTCAAATTTGTATGTTTAAATCAGGGTTTGTGTAAATTGCGGCAAAAATTGCCTAATAGTGGAGGCAATTAAATCTCACGCTTGAGATAAGTCTGACATTGCTAGAGATGTGTCTGGCATTCTCATTAATTGAAGTATAAGTTTATTCTCAATATGTATCTTTTGCAGTGCTTTGATTACTGCAAGAATACATTCTATTAGTCTGTTTTTCACTGCATTAGTACCTTTTTCAGGGTTATATGAGTCTTTTGGTCATCACCTTAATTTCTGCTAAAATGGGAATAATCTCCTATATTGTGGGACGGAGAAAGTTTAAGCAAGATTGTCAAGATCGGTATCCTATGTAGTATCGTTTTGCTCAAAGTAGTATCGTATCGTAGTATCGGGATACTATGAGATTTTCTTTTTTTTTTTCAAGTTTAGTTAATATTTATGTTAATTACGTATAGCCATTCTATATAAAAATGTGGTAATAATATATGTCTGCTAGTGATATGGGCCCGGGGGTTACCCAGGCTGTGAGGAAGGGCCTGCCCCCGGTAGCCGCGTGGCCTTCCCCCAAGGGGGTTCGGCCCGAGGCAGGACGGCGGCCGTTCCCCACACGTCCCGGGGTCGGGTCACCCCCTCCGCGTGGCGCCAAGTGTGCCGCGCCAGACGGGCGCTCCTAGCACCCACCTAACAACATTTAAGACGGTCTGAGCGAGCGCTCCGCGCGCAACATTTAATGCGGCGTGGTTCGTCAGACCGGTCTGTGACCGATGATTGACGTGGCTAGAGTAGTGCGCCTGCCATGTCAGGGCCGGATACGGTTTGCCTAACCCGTTTAGGGCAGGGTTCCCACTTCCCGGTACGAATGAGGACCTCCTCATTCATTAAATGCCAAGTGACGGGCGCATCCCCCGTGTTAGGCGGATGGATTTGATGGGCCCCACGCTATAGCAAGGCATGCAAGTGCCTTCCAAGTCAAGCAACGAGACGCGAGCTTAGTATGATTATCCTCCCTAGTTAGGCTCGGTGGACCCCTGTGGTAACCCCTCCGTCTCTAAATATTTGACGCCATTGACTTTTTTTAAAATGTTTGAGCGTTCGTTTTATTCAAAAAATTTAAGAAATTATGAATTCTTTTCCTATCATTTGATTCATTGTTAAATATACTTTTATATATACATATAGTTTTACATATTTCAAAAAAGTTTTTGAATAAGACGAACGGTCAAACATGTTTAGAAAAGTTAACGGCGTCAAATATTTAGGGACAAATGGAGTATAAAAGGAGGTCCTGGCCTACTGAGGGAGGGATGATCCATTTTGACTAGCACAGTCTCTTGCCCCTCATCATCAACACCTTCTACTCCAACAAGGAGATCTTGTAATCTCTCCCTCTCAATAAGCATAGCACATGAGTAGGGTATTACGCTTCTCAGCGGCCCGAACTTGTATAAACCACGGTTGCCTTTCCCCCGAGGGGTCGCACCCCCTCTTCTTCACACTTGACAGCGAACCTCTCAATCTACAATCACCGTCCCCGGCCGAACTAAAAAAGATAGGCCTTTCGGTTCCCTGGTGGAGGAGTACACCCTCCGACAATGTCATACAAATCGAGACATTTATCAAGAGAAACCACATTGGTTTTGATATATTTAACTGATTTTTATATAAACTTGGGCATATTTATTTACATTATTTTCAAATCATGCTATTTCAAATAATATTTTATAGTATCGTAGGGATCGTAGAATCGGGATACCACCTAAGATTTCGTAGGATCGTGTAGTAATGAATAGTTGGATCGAGATACTATTAAAAATTAGAATACTAAGTGGATCGATATCGTTTTAATTTGGTAGGATCGAAACATGGTAAAATAATGGATACGAATCGGAACCTTGAGTACAAGTGAAACTCCCTCCACCAACTCCATAATCGGCTCTCTCCATAACCCCCTTCCTGCAACTGCAAGCCGCCAGAGACACCAACCGCAGCCAGCTTGGATATTTTGGTAGATCCGCCCACTCACTGCCATGCGGGCCCAAGTGTCGGCTCAGCCTTCCACCTCGCCCCCTGCTAAATCCCACCAAACCCCTCCACTCACTCACCTCTCCTCCCCCTCGACCTCCCCGCCGCGCCACCACCTCCTCCTCCTCCAAGCTCTCCACCCCACGCACTCCGGAAGCTTCTAGAACCTCCGGCCTCCCCTTCCCCCGGGGGAACCTTCTCGCCTCCCGCCGCCATGCAGAGCGCCGCGGCGGCGTTCGGCCTCGTCCGGCCGTGCCCCGCGCGGCCGCCGCTCCAGCTGGGCCCCGGCAGCAGTAGCTGTCGTCCCATCCTGCTCCATGCCCGGCCCCTCGCCGCCGGCATCGCCTCCTCTTCGCGAGGGCCCGCCGCCGTGGCGGCGCGGTCGCTTGGGCGGCTGCTGCTGCTGCCGCCGCCGCCGCCGATCTCGCCGGACCGGGCGGGGAGGGGGAGGGCGCGCCACGTGGCGTGCGGCGCGGCGGCCGGGGACGCCAAGGCGGAGGAGGAGGAAAGCGGCCTCGCCAAGACGCTGCAGCTCGGCGCGCTGTTCGGGCTGTGGTACCTCTTCAACATCTACTTCAACATCTACAACAAGCAGGTGAGCAAGTGAGCTTATGATCTGGCTCTTGAGTAATTGTGAATTAAAAATGCTGGAATGCTTTGTAATTGTGTAGATTCGGATCAGAGTTTATTTCACAGCATGAAACTCTTGTGTTTTGCATGGGTTATTTATTGTGTTCTGCCTGCGATCCTGCTGCTTGAAATGGGAAAATTGTAACTGCAGTATATCTGTCTCTATGTGAGGCTGCGATTCATTCTCGCTATCTTTCTTTTTAGAAAAGACAACTATCTTGTACTGGGTGATCACTGCTCAATAAGATGATTAATATGATATTTTTCGAGTGCAGGTTTTGGTTATCTTTTTGTGGGTTGAATTGATTGTGTTTATGCTAGTGGACATTTAGTTTGTCAATGTGTTGAAATACATTGTGATGTTGTTTTGCTCTTTTGGGCCTTCATTCTTGACTTTAGGCCAAAGGACCCAGGAAAAGTTATAGACTTATAGTTGATTTGTATTTGAGTACCTTTATTAAAGCTTTTGTGTGATGATGGCCCCTGCAAAGCTGCAACTAATTATGGTACGGTATGAATGGTCTGTCTGTTTTGGTGCAAGGTAGCGATAAGGATGTTCAATGTGCTATTTTAGATCTGAAATGAAATAAATTCCAATAATTTATGATTTACTTTTGTTGAGATCAAGTTTCTGTCGTCCCTGTAATTTCCTTGTTAATTGTTCTGCACTTCTGTTCTAATATACAGAAAATGACTTAGATTTGAAGTTCAATGTTATATGTTAGTCCATAAGGTTCTCGATGACATGAAATCTTGTATCCTATTTTCTTTCAAGTTTCTCAAGATGTTCTCAGATATCGATTTGAAGTTGTTTTTAAGAGTCAGAAGGTGGCATCTCTGTTTGGAACATAATATTTGCCTTTTGCAGTTTGAAACATGACGCAACGTTGCACATATGTTTTGATATGACATCAACTTTTTAGGTACTTTTATCCTGCGATAGTCTGGCCTTCTGACCATTTCATCATTGTAATACTTATTTATCTCCTTTGATTATACATTCATTCTTCTATCTTATTCTGCCTTGCAGTCAGTACCTCCAGTTACTAGAGATTATATAATCTTCCTACTAAACTTCCCTAGATGCATTTCTGTTCATCATACAAATCTGATTTGGTATGCATGGGTTTTCTTGATTATCATCATACAGCCTTTCTTTTCTAAAAGCATTTTGTATTTTGATTGTGTTGTTCTTCCTGCAGGATATGCTATATTGTTATATTGATTATTTTCGCAGATAAACTATTAACTCTTGTTTTCTGTTATAATGTTTGACAGGTCCTGAAGGTTTTCCCATATCCAATAAACATTACAACAGTTCAATTTGCTGTTGGTACTGTCGTTGCTTTGTTCATGTGGATCACTGGTATCCTTAGGAGACCAAAGATTTCTGGTGCACAGGTAGATCTTTGATATTGTTTGACACACTTTCATTGTTTAAATGGGTTGTATTAACAAGGAGTATCTGTTGCTCTTGTGTTTTCCTTTTCAGCTCTTTGCCATCCTTCCTCTAGCTGTGGTCCATACTATGGGCAATCTTTTCACTAACATGAGCCTGGGGAAGGTTGCTGTGTCATTCACACATACCATCAAAGCTATGGAACCTTTCTTTTCTGTTCTCCTCTCTGCAATTTTCCTTGGCGAGGTAACTTGTAGTGTCCTATATAATGTTGATTGCTGCAATATATTATGTATATCTGAGAGAACTACCTGGGTTTTCTTTCAATAATTGAATGGCATGGCAGTTGCCTACAGTTTGGGTGATACTTTCACTTCTTCCGATTGTTGGTGGTGTAGCATTGGCATCTCTTACTGAGGCTTCCTTCAACTGGTATGTAACAAGTACTATCATTTGAATCCAAGCTTAATAAAATGAACTGTAAAGGAGCAATTATGCCAAACATTTTGGGCTTATGTGTTTCTCTGCTATTATGTCTCATTTCTCGCTCTTTTTTTTCTTGGCCAATCACATAGTGTACATTGACATAAGTAAGGTGTTTGATGTATTTGGCATATATATGTTTATGTTTTTAACACAATAATATTGTATCTATGTGACATTTGGATTATTGAATCTATGGCAAAAAGGTGAAGTTAGTAATTTACAACTGATAAAACATGGAATACATAGTTCACACATCTTTGGGTTATTACTTGCTAACTCTTCGCATGAGCTATTGCGTGTAATTTGAATAAATCAAATTCAAAGGGATTTAATGCATGATTCTTATAAACAAAAATATTCCATTCTTGTCATCTTTGCATGCCTTCCTTATCTCTTCAGACAGTTCATGTGAGCAGTTAGCAAGTTAGCACTCGCGAGCAGTCTTTACTCTGTAACAGATACATTTGCATTTTCCCAGTTGAACTTATCATAATTAGCTCATAGGAAGATTCTAGTTACTGAAAAATGAACTATGTAAAGATCAAATCATCAAGTCACTGATACAATTCAGTCTTATTATTTTTTATTTTGATGTAGTGTAGTGCCTAATAGAACAGCGTTGTTTTGCAAACTGTTCTACTCAATCAGCATCAACCTACTTTGCACAGAATTAGAAAACCTCATTCTATGCAGAGCTGGCCAGGTCCAGATCTTTTACCAACCAAAATTGTTCGAAGAAATATGTCTCCTATATCATGTTTAATGTTATGTACTGTTCGTATATTGTCACCATATTTCAAATTTCGTATGAATGAGGGATATATAACCAACCTCCTGCTATATTATATTACTTTGCTGTAACCTGATACAACAGGGCTGGGTTTTGGAGTGCAATGGCTTCAAATGTCACCTTCCAGTCAAGGAATGTGCTGAGCAAGAAACTCATGGTTAAAAAGGAGGTAATTGTGAATATATAAATGTGTTACAAAATAATGTTATATATTGGATAGGTGGCTTTATGTGTGAACTATTTATTGTGTTGATTATCTTGCATTGCTGTACTACTTCCTAATCCACTTCATTATTCCTACTCAAGCAGGAATCTCTTGACAACATTAATCTTTTCTCAATCATAACTGTGATGTCATTTTTCCTTTTGGCCCCTGTTGCCTTCCTAACAGAAGGCATCAAAATCACTCCTACAGTTTTGCAATCTGCTGTGAGTAATACACAACTCAATTCATTTCACTGGTTATTAGAAAATACAAAAACAAAATAAGCACCTTTCTCACCTTTCATGATCCTAATGAAATTTCTGACTGATTTCCTGACACATGATGTAGGGTCTGAATGTAAAACAGGTGCTTACAAGGTCTTTACTTGCTGCACTTTGTTTCCACGCGTACCAACAGGTTAGTCATGCATGCTGTCGTTTTTTCATGTTTGGTCATATACATGTTTAGTTGGGATAGTTGATAGTTCTGTTTATGGTTCAAATGCCAGAAAGTGCATATTTTAAGTCTGTTGGAGTTAAAGTATTCTTCTTACAGCACTACATTCAAGTGATATGAATAACCAATCCCTTCTAGTTATTTCGTGGCTTAAGTTCATACTCCTATGGAAACTGAACGTCTAATACCTAATTTAGAACCCAGGAATTTCCTGCCAAAATTGATACTTCCGTGATAAATTTCTGCATTAGAAACAGTGCCTAAAGCTCTAAAGGAAAAACTGTGCAGATTTTGATCTGTACTTGTGGAGTCATGGGGTCGAAATACTCACATGTTCTAGATAATTTGTTTTTGCAGATTTTCTGCACAAAACTAATGCATATTTGCAAGATTGTTGAAAAATTAGAACCATTTTGGCAGTAGCATCAATTCCATGTAGGAGAAGTTCTGAATCACCATTGAGAATACGATAAAATTTCTTCTCCTTCAATGTAGTGAATGCTATTGCACTAGAGTATTTTCTGATCAATTGATTTATTAGTGTAGAACTTATTTTGTTGGTATGGCAGGCTGGCAGCTAGCTTGTTTTCACTTCAAGTGGCAGTTGGATTCCATGGCATCATGTCCTAATTGCATTTGTGTACCTGCAGTACTTGTATATAGAACAAACTCTATTATGGCAGCAGGGAGAGTGAATAGACATAAGGACTCGTAGGGATGTGAACGGTCATGTCATGCAATCTTGTCCTGCATGGCCGGAGGTCGGCATGGTAGCCATAGGGGAAATCCCTTTTCGTATTGCTTTATACCCTACTAGCTAAATGCCCTTGCATTGCAGCGGGTTATTCAAGATAGGAAAAAAATAAAATAATTTTATCCCTTGTTGAAAAAAAATTAAGCTTCTACTTGGTTGAAACAAGATTCTTCTACAAAAACAAAAAGAAAAATGCTATAGTTAAGACTATACTCCCTCCAGTTCTCAAATTCTTGATGTTTTGGGTGTGGAACCAAAGGCCTCTAATTCTTGACGTTTTGGCATTTGGCTGTGTGCATCGGAGGTGATTGCCCCTGCATGCTGCATAGCCATTACTGATCCCAATAGCGCAGTAGTACAATTAATATGGATAAAACAGGGATTATGCCCCCTAATAAATCTCTCCTTGGTATATGTGATTCACTCCAAAACGTCAAGAATTTGATAAATCGAGGGAGTATTTCTCAATATGAGACATAAATCCATATGCTTTTCAGTACTTAAATATAGATTGATGACTCCATCCGTGTTAACGAAATGTCTATTTCATATGATAATGTGTACTTATTAATAAATTTTGTTGTATAACTCATTTAGAATTAGAATAGAAGCCTTAAGATGAGAAGAAGCAAAGCAATAGAAATTTAAAGAGCTGCACCAAACAGAGTATTGGGGAGCAAGAGCAGTTGGAGACTAACTAAACAAGTACACAAGTACATAAAGTGGTAGCATAGCACTCACATGTGTAATAGTTACATCATGGCCCACACGTTAGTGTTGGTGGTGATGGCATACTCACCACCATTTGTACAAGCTATGCCAACCTTTTACACTCAGGTGGCAATGTACATAAGGAAACTAGAGATAAAATAGCGATCCAATCTAAACAAACTAGGAGATATAAGGAAAACTTTTTTTGCAAATATACTTATTATTTCAATAATTTACGTTTATATACATGCATGGGAAGGATTTGCAAAAATATACCCGTCCCGAGGAATGAAAACGCGGGACCTCAACGGTCTGTAGCTCCAAAACACGGGACTAACGGTCCCGCGGCTCCAAAACACGCCACCATGGTAGCAAGTGATTTTTTTTACCGTGTCGGTACTGCTTAGTACTGTTTTGACACTATGTTTGCACTGTTTGGAACTGTTCACATGTTGGTTCCCGGCAGTAAAACTGCTGGAACTAACATGTGAACAGTGTCAAACAGTGTCAAATAGTGTTTCAATAGTGCCAAAAAGTATTAATTCGATGTCTACCGCGGTGGCGTGTTTTGGAGCCGTGGGACCACGATGGTCCCGTGTTTTGGAGCTGCCGGACCGTCGCGGTACCGCGGGACGGGTATATTTTCGCAAATCCTTCCCATGAAGGTATATAGACGTAAATTATTGAAAGAATAAGTATATTCGCAAATTTTTTTCGAGATATAAGAAGGTTAGAGATCATATCTCGATGCAACAGAAAGAACTATCAATATGCTTGTCTCCGCAATATACTCAGCCATAGAGCCGGTCCATATCAACCTTGCTGTAACCTAGTGTCTCTACTCAATGTGGACTAACCTTGTGACGGGGCCAATGTCTGCAAAGATGGTATTTACTAGTATGTGTGTGATGTTTCTTTGCTTATCGATCTTATGCACAACTTTGTTGAAGGTGTCCTACATGATCCTCGCGAGGGTGTCTCCTGTCACTCACTCCGTGGGCAACTGTGTTAAGCGTGTCGTGGTCATCGTAACATCGGTTTTGTTCTTCAGGACTCCTGTTTCTCCTATCAACTCCCTCGGTAAGTCCGCCATTTCATCTTGATCTCTATTTCTGACCCATTGATTTCTTCCATTGAAGCTCACACGTTTTGTATGACTTCCCTCTGGTAGGCACTGCCATCGCACTTGCCGGAGTTTTCCTGTACTCACAACTGAAGAGACTGAAGCCCAAGCCCAAGGCTGCGTAACTGAAGCATGCAGTTGCCATCTTATTGTAGCAGTCTTTCCAAGATGAATTGTCGTAGCACACGTTTGGAAATTTATAGTGCATTTAGTGTAGAGGGAAGCTGAACATGTTCACGTTGAAGCTAAGTGTAGTAGGATCATGTATGTGGTCTAACTCTTACAGTTAAAGCAGGGTTTTGAAGTACATGAGCAGATTTCCGTGCGTGTTGTTGCAATAAAGTTTCGGCTTCAATTAATGCCCATCAAAATAATTATTATTCTAGAACATCTTAAATTTCATGCAAACATCATCTAGAAAATATAAAGTATTTCAAATCATCTTCCTCACATTATTTTGTTAACATTGTAACATTTAACATTTCTATGATATTTAACATATATTTATCAATGCATTCTGCAACAAAGCGAGGGATATTATATAGTATATCACTTGTTTTTGTGCCATTCGTTAATACCGACCGTGAACAACCATGTCACTAAGACTACAGTGATTATGTTAGAATTACACTTCGAGAGGCTCCCTCTTATGTGGATTTTGTGGTGTTTTGTTTTGGCCTCCACTTATGTTTAACATTATTTTGCGTTGATTTTTGTATGGATTCTTTTGAGTCTTGACTGTCTGTAAGATGAGAACAATTGATTATTCATAAATCAGTCGTTGTAATGATTTTCATAATTGATAATAATAATAATGCATCCACATACCAAGGGTATATAACCATGAAAAAGAAGAATAATGCCAGGTATCATCGTTTCTTCTGTTTTTTCCCCACATTGCTGAGCAAGTGAATTCGATCTCTTTGGCCACTGCACAACCCGTCAACCCCTTATCATCATTTTTAAGACCTTCAACTTGTATTCTTGTCCCTCAAATATTGAGTCTTCAATGTAATCTTTAATACTCCCTCCGTACTCCTAAAGGAAGTCGTTTAGGACAGCGACACGGTCTTCAAAACATAACTTTGACTTCTTTTTTCAATAAAAATATTTATTGAAAAGTGATATATGTATACTTTTATGAAATTATTTTTCAAGACAAATCTATTCATATAATTTTTATATTTTCAAACTCAATAATTCGAGAGTTATTCATGATTTATATTCCCAAGGTTTGACTTAAACATTATCCTAAACGACTTCCTTTATAAGTATGGAGGGAGCATTTTTCCTTGCCATCGGGGGCCTTCATCTCTTGCAATTCAATGGTGTTTATAGAGAGAGATTGTTCATACACTCGTATACCCGTAAAATTTAATCATTGTTTATTAATGATTGATTGAATCTGAATATGTTGCTATCATTACTTCATTAGTGGCACGAGAATATTGTCACGGCTCGTCCAATCCTTCCGGCGTCTCGCCTAGATTGATGTGGATTTGACGAACTCGTAAGAAGATTTCGGTGGAATTTTGGGATAGAGAGGAAGAACTCGAGCTGAGGTTGGAGGAGAGGTAGTTAGTTGGAAATTTGCTTTTCTCTTCTTCGATAGCCAGCCCCTGACTCAGAGGTCTGTATTTATCTAGTTACGACCCAACTGCCTCAGCCTATATGGTGGCCCGATACATCCATCTAATGGCAACACAAGTCTAATACACAGGCCAAGCCTAACAATTTCCCTTCCCTTAACAACCGGCTTGACCCCAAGCTGGTGCCCTTGGAAAACGCTGACGCAGTTGCTGAAGATTTTCTTAGGTTGCCAGTTCTTCCGGAAGCCCTGACCATTGTACCAGCCCGAAGCGTACCGCAGCACAACCTCGCTTGATTAGTTGTTGACGCAGTATCTTCTCTGGGCGACTTCCATCTGCTTCCTCCAGACACTGCACAGGGAGGTCAGAACAAACTTGCGTACCTGGAGCAACAGCTTTCTTGAGGAGAGAAACATATACAACTGGGTGAATCTGGCTCTCCTTTGGCAACTCCAAGCGGTATGCTACCTTTCCCACTTTATCCAGCACTTTGTAGGGTCCAAAATACCGGAAATTCAGCTTGTGACATGATCTGCGCGCCACTGATAGCTGCACATACGGTTGAAGCTTGAGGAACACCATGTCTCCAACCTCAAAATGTCTCTCTGAGCGGTGTTTGTTAGCTTGATGCTTCATTCTTTGCTGAGCTCTGGTGAGATGCTAGTGTAGGAGATCATTCATGTGAGCCCTATCTTGTAACCAACTGTGGACATCTGGTACAGTACTTTGGCCAAGATCTGTCACCCCAAAGTGATCTGCCTTCCTGGCAAATAGAACCTCATAGGGAGTTTTGCCCAAAGCACTATGGAATGAAGTGTTGTACCAGTATTGAGCTTGGGATAACCACTGAGACCACTTAGTGGGACAAGAGTGAACTGCACACCTTAAGTAAGTTTCTAGGCATTGGTTCAATCTTTCTGTCTGCCCATTGGTTTGAGGGTGGTAGGACGAACTCATATTTAGTTTGACATCAGCCAATCTAAACAATTCTTGCCAAAGTGCACTGGTGAATACTCTATCCCTATCAGAGATGATGATTCTAGGCATTCCAAACACCTCATAAACATGGCGCATAAACAGCTGAGCCACTGACAAAGCAGTAAATGGATGTGTGAGAGGAATAAACCTGGCAAATTTAGTGAACTTGTCGATTACCACCATTATTGTGTCAAATCCCCCTAATCTGGGCAAGCCCTCAATGAAGTCCATGCTGATGGTATGCCAAGCCTACAGGGGAACCGACAATGGTTGCAAGAGCCCAGGCAGTTTGCAATGTTCCACTTTTGCTTGCTGGCACACCTGACAACCTTGCACATAGTCATGGACCTCCTTCTTCATGGCTGGCCAGGAAAACAACTGCTTCACCCTTTGATATGTTGCAGCCACACCAGAATGCCCACCCAAGCCACTGCTATGTAATGCCAACAACACTGCTTGTTTAGCCTCTTGGTGATTCCCCAACCAAATCCTACCTTGATGTTGAATCACCCCATCCACTAGAGCAAAGTCTCCTACCCCCTTTGGGTCTATACTTAACTGAGCCAACAACTCTTTAGCCTGTGCATCCTTTTCATACCACTCCTGGATCACCTCCAGCCATCGAGGAACAGATATGCTGATGGCTTGACAATCTTCCACCTCAGTCTGCCTGGATAGAGCATCTGCTGTGGTGTTCTCAGCTCCTTTCTTGTATTGAATCTTATACTATAATCCCATAAGCTTGACAAAAGCCTTATGCTGTATACTGGTAGTTAACCTTTGCTCCCCCAAATGAGATAAACTCTTGTGATCAGTGAGTATTACAAAAGTGGCATGCTGCAAGTAAGACCTCCATTTCTCAACAACAAAAAGGATTGCAAGACACTCCTTCTCGTAGGTAGACATTGCCTAAGCTTTCTTCCCCAATGTTTTGCTGATATAGGCAATGGGATGTTTGTCCTGCATCAACACTGCTCCAATTCCTCTTCCACTGGCATCAGTCTCCAACACAAAAGTTTTGCTAAAATCTGGTAATGCCAGGACTGGGGCTTGCATTAACGATTGTTTCAGGGCTTCAAAAGCATGCTGCTCAGCTGTGCAAGTATACTCTCTGTCCTTTTTTAGCAATTCTGTCAAGGGTTTTGCTATCATCCCATAGCATTGAATGAATCTCCTGTAGTACCCTGTTAGTCCAAGAAAACCTCTCAACTGTTTTAACCCCTTTGGAACAGGCCAACTTTGAACAGCCTTCACCTTGGCTGGGTCTGTAGCCACTCCGGCACTCCTTGTATGCCAATAATGTGCCCCAAATACTCCAAGTGCTGCTGGGCAAAGGAACATTTGCTCATTTTGACAAACAATTTATGCTTATGCAACACAGTCAGAACCTCTTTCAACATCTGCACATGTTCCTGGAGACTTTTGCTATAGATCAATATATCATCCACAAAGACCAAGACCCCCTTCCTAATCAGATGGTTAAAAATAGTGTTCATCAGCCCTTGGAATGTAGCAGGAGCATTTGTTAATCCAAATGGCATTACTTTGAATTCATAATGACCTTGGTGAGTTCTAAATGCCGTCTTATGCTCATCCTCTTCCTTTAACCAAATCTGATGGTATCCAGATCTCAGATCCAGTTTTGTAAACCATTGGGCACCTGCCAACTCATCCAACAGCTCCTCAACCACGGGCATTGGGTACTTATTCTTTATTGTTATCCCATTCAGTCCCCTGTAGTCCACACAAAATCTCCATGTCCCATCTTTTTTCTTCACCAGTAGAACTGGTGAGGCAAATGGGCTCACACTTGGCTGTATGATGCCCTGGTTAAGCATTTGGCTCACCTGCTTTTCTATCTCATTCTTCTGAATTGGTGAGTACCTGTAGGGCTTCAGAATGACAGGCTTGGCCTAGGACTCTAGAGGAATTGCATGATCGAAATCCCTCTTTGGTGGCAACTCCTTTGGCTCACCAAACCTGTCCTTGAACCTGTGCAACACTTCTTGAATCTGTGAGGGCACCTCACTTTGGTTCTGCTGTTCTTCTATGGTACACAGCTGAACCACTTGAGCCACTGCCCCATCCTTCATCATCCCATTAAACTATTTAGCTGACATGATCTTGCACTGATTTAACTGGTCTTTCACCCCAAATAGCATAATCCTGTTGTTCTTATGACTGAACCTCATCTTCTTTCTCTTCCAATCTATCCACATTGGACTGAATTCCTCTAACCAATCCATTCCCAAAATCATATCATAGCTTCCCAACGGCAGCAGCTTGAGATCTGTCACAAATGATTGTCCCTGACACCACCACTCAACCCCAGGAGCTACTTTTGCACAGGTCATCTTGCCCCCATCAGCAATGGTTATTTGTGACAGGGTTGTTCCTCTTATTGGTAGGTTCAATTTTTCTGCTACCCTTTCAGCCAAGAAGTTGCTAGTACTCCCAGAATCCACCAGAATTAACAAATGATGCTTCTGAATCAACCCTTCCAATCTTATTGTCTTCCTTCCAGAAGAACCTGTCATGGCACATTCTGATATGACCAATTCTTCTTCACTTCCAGAGTCTCCCTCTTCAGCCTCTCCCTCATTTGCATCTCTAATCTGGAACACCTCAAGCAGCTCTTCCAGGATGTGAAGCTGGACTGACTTTGGGCATTTATGTCCCGGCCCCCACTTCTCACCACACTTGAAACACTCCCCTCTTGCTCTTCTAGCAGACTTAAGTGATTCAAACCTGTCCTCCCATTTCGGCTTCTCCTCTACCTTCTTAGGCTCCTCAGGGGTTGGACCTAGAATCCCCTTCCCTT